CGAATAACAGCGAGCAAGACGTGAAAACAGAAATGCGGAGAGGTAAAATGAGCGCAGTGAGTTTAACCGATGTGTAGTGATGAAAGACCTGAGACAATATAATTGTCTACAAGTATATTTAAGGGTCCGCTTACATCTGTAGTAAAGAGTGCGATTCTTGATACAATCGGATTTAGTTTCATTCGAATGAAAGTCGATGGAAGTCGATTGAGATCAGAATATGACAACCTGGTAAATCCTACATTGTAACTCGCTTCTGCTTTAGATTAAGTAGTCAACAATGAATGTTTCACTCGCCCAGGCTATTCTGTTCGCAAAAAAAACAGAAGACAGTAGTAACATAGAAGGCAGCTAAGCCGAATACCGAGAATTAAATAGTCCGATCAGATGGACTGCGTCTCGTAGTTTCGAGCCTTGAAATACTGATCATTAAATATGCTCCACTGACTGAAGATTCGAACCGTTCAAGAATGTACTGCCGATATTGCTACATTGGCGATACGAAAGAAACGATGGCATTTTAAGTGTATGACTGACATATACATAAACATCTGTTTATAGCAATAAGAAATTTATCACTGCAAATTGAACACAGTGCCTAATTAATTAATTTACGCACGTGTTGAAGACACTGATTTGTAACTCAGTAGATTCATCCTGTACATAAAATAGTTGTGGAACTGCATATGTACGTTTAAGTGATTGCACGGAAACCGACCTTCGAAAACGTCATAAAATAACAATGGAACATTTTCAGAGTGAAACGCATTTCATTTAAAAGATTACACAAGTAACTAGCATTTCTTGAACTAATACACATGCATGAAGAAGATATCATCTTGGCTCTCTTTATTTGCTGTCTTATGTTAATCTTATATACCCTAGTTTCTACCGCGTCAATGAATTATAGGTTCCTCATCTAAGAAGTGAAGAAGGGCATCGGGACTGCTCAGCGCAGCCCAGAGCGGAAAATTTTCCCCGTATCGCCATTTATGGGTTAATTTACGTTTACCTCTGAGCTGATAAACAACAAAAGTAGAAATAAGGAATTTTAATTCCAAAGAATAAATATAATCTTTCAAAAATAGAGAAATTATCAGAATAGTTTAAATAAAGCAATTGAACATAGTAGGAAACTATTTTAAATATAGGTTTCAAATTAAAATATAAGTTTGCCAAATGGACTTTGCCACTACCTTTACATACCTGACGTGCAACCTCGACCTTCGCTTGTCGCTTGCTCTGTGCAACTGCCGTGAACGTCATTCCATTGATAGTCAGGGTACACGAAAATTTCCTATCTTGAGGCTTGACGTCTTCTTCGCTGACATCTTTTACGTCAAACGTTGGCTTGAATGCATCACCCTTCGGAAAGCACAGGTCATTCAGCACTTGCAGCACCGACTTTCCTTCAAAAGATACAGCTTTGTCAGATCCGTTTTCCAAATCGCCTGCTTTTCTTTTTAATGAGAAGTCTACTTTCAAATTGGAAATATCTTCAGCTTCTACGTCCTTTA